TTGTGTCGGGGAAATGATCGTCGGTAAAACAGTTGTCGGTGAAATGATCCTGTCTATGAAATGTTTGTCGGTAAAATGGTTGTCGGTGAAATGAATGCGACCCCAATTTCCTTGGTAAAAAAAAAAAAATTTTTTTTTCAAAAAAAAATGTCAACCGCAGCACAGTTATTTGTTAAAACATTAGACGGTAAAACAAGAGTAATATTTGCCGAATTTACTATGACAGTTGACGAATTCAAATTGTTAATTCAGAAAGAGATGGGCACACCACCGGAACATCAACGATTAATTTTTGCTGGCAAACAACTTGAAGATGGACGACGTACCTTGTATGAATATAATATACAAAATGAATCGACCTTAAATATGGTATTAAGGTTGAGAGGTGGATGTCCCACTTTATATATTCTTCCTAATCACCTTTGATCCAAGATTCTATTATGATTTCACAAATATAAATGATAATAGGAAGGGCTTTTTGTACGAGGAAATGTCGAATATAAAACTTGACAAATATGAAAATAATATTTGGCTTGGCGTTGACGGTAGAAATCTTCAACAAGTTCGGGCACAAAATTAATGGCCAAGTATTATTACATATTTAAACAAAACAAATTTATTTTAATTCAATAATTTCAAAGTTTCTTATCATGGAACTGCCAAACATAATTGTACAGTAAATCAATTGCTAAAAAAGATTATGATTCGCATTTGGGCAATTCAACACCGGTTATTGATGTCGCTAAATATGCTATATTTACTCATGAAATGAGATAGATATCAAAGCTTTATTTTAAGATTTAGTTGGTTTAAATAATTTAGTTAGGGTTACGAAGGGAGAAACTGGTGTTATTGAATTTCGCGAAACGGAGAAGATTTACGTCCTTATGATATCTGTATCAAGAAACTTTAATTAGTTATATGTTTTGTTATTAAATATTCAAATATGTAAGAAATACTGTAAATATTGATAGCGAAAATATATTCATAACATGTGTAAATGTAAGACGCTTATTCAAAATTTAAAAAAGTTATTTATGATTATGAAAAATTGATAATGATTTTCATTTTTGTCCTTAAAATGAGTACTTGAATTTCCTAAGTAAAAAAAAAAAATTCACATCAAATCATGTTTTAACCGCTGTATCCCAAATCAATTACTTATTATTAGTTACGTTATCTAAGATAAAAGGAAGAAATTTGACTTAAAACTAGATATGAACGCAATTTATTTTGGAAATGTCGAATCAAGCTTGTTCTTCGATAGTTAACACCAAACTTATTTACAAAGCTAGTCGGAGATATTAATCCATACATAAATTATTACATCTTAAAAATCTCTAAAATCAAAATAATATATTAAATCTTTTCCGTAATTTTACCCACTTCTTTATCTTTAGTTTTCGTTTCGTTTCATTTCGTTTCAATAGGATCGGTTCAACAAAGATTAATATTTGCTGGTAAAAAAATAGATGGATTGACTACAATGAACAAAAGTTATATATTATTGAAATTAAGAAAATTAAGAGAATTTTTAATGTTCTTGACCAATTTGATCTCAAGATGACCAGATTTTAAAGAAGGAAATGTTATTTATAATAAATAAATAATAAATATCAATAAAGTTTAAAAAAAAATACATAATATTTTCTCTCACAAGGCGTATTTTAAGAATTAAATCAACAATGACTATTGATTACCATAAATGGTCGACATCATGGAAAAATGATAATGTGAAAAAATAAACCAGAAATCCTTTTTTTTCCTTTCAATTGAACAAAGATTTATATAGGCTAGAGATTTCCTTTGTAAAAAAAAAAAGAAAAAGATGTCAAATCCTCTTTTAGCCGCAGCACTCAGTGCTATTACAAATCAAAATGTTATTACTTATGATGATTATGTTAAAAGAAAAAATGATGATAATAGCTATTACAGCGAATTAGATCAAAAATCTCTTCATCAGTCTCATTAGTCAATGGTAGGGTACCTTACGCTGGCGTAAGATTAAATGGATTAGGTAAAGGTGAACAATTATTCGTTAACATTAGAACATTAACTGGTAAAACCATAATATTGGAAGTCACATTTACTATGACAATTGACCAATTAAAATCGTTAATTCAGGATAAAGAAGGTATATCACCAGATCAGCAATGATTAATTTTTGCTGGTAAACAACTTGAAGATGAACGTACTTTGAATGACTACAATATATAATATGGATCGACCTTACATATGGTAATGAAATTGAGTGGTGGTGGTAGTCCCACTTTATATCTTCTTCCTAATCACCTTGCTCCAGAATACGATTATGATTTCACAAATATAAATGATAATAGGATGAAGTTTGAACGAGGAAATTTTGAATATAAATGTCTTTGTGGTTGGAAAAGAATCGCTCTTAATGTTCTTGACAAATATGAAAATAATATTTGGCTTGGCGTTTACGGTAGAAAATCTTCAATAAGCTCAGCACAAAATGAATGGCCAGGTATAATTATCGTTATCATTTTTAAAACAAAACAAAAGTTTATTATATACTTACTCATTTAAAAATTTTTTTAATTCAATAATTTCAAAGTTTCTTATCATGGAACTGCCAAACATAATTGTAAATCAATTGCTGAAGAAGGTTATGATTTGTGTAAATATAAACGATTCGCATTTGGACATGGAATTTATTCAACACCAGATATTGACGTCGCATCTGCATATGCTACTCAATTCACTCATGAGGGAGATAGATATCAAGTTGTATTTCAAAATCGGGTTAATCCAAATAATTTAGTTAGAGTTACAATGAAAAAAACTGGTGTTGATGAATATTAGATTTTGCCAAATGGAGCAGATTTACGTCCTTATGGTATCTGTATTAAGAAAATTTAATTTTTAATATTATTTTTGTTATTATTTTTTTTTTAATTAATATTCAAATATGTTAATGTTAAATATGAACCTTCGAAAAGCGAAAAATATATTCAAAACATGTGTAAATGTAATTTTGCGAATAAACTTTCATATCAAAGATGCATATTAAAATTTAAAAATTTTATTTATGATCTCATTGGTTATGCTATATTCTATGTATTCTATACACTATAACGGGAATGAATATTAAAAATTAATAGAGAAATTTTATTTTTTATTAAATCATTTTTATCCTTGAAAAGAGTACTTGAATTTCCTTAGTAAAAACGTCAAACATGTTTTAGTTGCTGTATTCTTAATCAATTACTTATGATTATGTTATATTATGATGAATTGAATCAAAAATGTTTATATGTCAATTTTTTCATATGTAAGAGTATTCACTTTATTGCGGGATTTATTGTATTATATAGATCGATTTTTTTTTTTTTTGCAAAAAACCGTTACGATCAAAGACATGTGACTTTGAACATTTTTGACTGATCAAAATAAGATACAATCAATTTCTTATATATTTTTTACTCAAAAAATATTTCTTTCTTAATAAGTAATTATGTCTATCATCTATAAAGCAATCAAAAGCCTAAATTTCACAAAAGAAGAAAGAAGAAATGCCTTACGTACCTTCTTCATTAATAATCTGAATAAAAGAACTGAAGTGGTCCTACCTATAAAGATGAAGAAATAGTTACTTATTTGAAAAATCTCTTAAAGCCTGAAATGTTTCCTCACATATTTTACTTAAACATAAGATAATGTTCATTTTCTGTCATTTTTGTCTATGTTTTTATTTATTTTTGTTTTGCTCTATCAATGACCTATCTAAAAGAAAAGAAGTTTGAAAATTATAAGAAACAAACATCAATAAGAGAAGACTATACTATATTGAAAATAGCATTTATAAGAGTATTAAATAACCTGAAGAGGATTATGTTGATGCCTTTCTGAACCATTTAGATGGATATGCAAAATGTAAAGACTGAATAAATTCTACTCCTTTTATACATCACTTGTACAAGTAAGTGGATAGGAAAGTCAAGACTATTGTGAGAATTAGTAACTGATAAAAATGTTTTAGTAATCTATATTTATCTACGTAAATCTAAATAGCATAGTTATTCAAATAAGTAAACTATTGTTAACTATTTAACCAATGAAGCACATAATAAAACCTATTAAATAAGGTTTCTTTCAGCTTTATTTAAGGTATATAAGGAATTTTGAAGCAGTTCAAAACGCAACATTCAGGTAAAATATGTAATCATATGTTTGATATTCTCATTAGTAATAGAAATAATGTAGAACTATTTAGATTGCAAGAATATTTTTGAAGAAGTGTGATGAAAGAAATGGAATTGTAAGATACTTTAGAAGTAGAAAGATAAAGAATAAATATATAAAGCTAATACCCATTCTAGATAAAATGGAAAATTCTTCTTCATTGAAAATTCTATTAACTTTTAATAAAGATTGCATATTGGTTGATTACAATAATTATGATATTATCAAAGGAAGAGTCTTTTTAATCAATATATTATGTAGTAACTGGTTTTTCATAAATAGAATTACATTTTTAAAGAAAGTATAAAGCCTCATTAGTATAATGAAAGTTCTTTATTACAAGCTTTAAATCAACTAATTGATCTTGAGAATTAAGATGAGAATTATATTTATTGATTGATAATATTATTTTAGCTAGTTTTTAAAAAAATATTACATATTACATTCAATATAATTATATGTTGATTGATTAGATATATGTATTCAAATAAAAAGGTAATTGAGATCGAAAGTATGTAACATTTTATAATATTAAAGAATGCTTTTAATATGATAGAGATTTTTATCAAGACTTTTATCAACTAAAAAACTAAATAGGTTTAATTTGATTACTAGCTTTTAATATTTCATCAAAATGTTTATTTTGAATTTGTGAATTTAAGTCACTTATATGAGTAGTTAAACTTATACCAATCTAATATTATGAGTATATAAAGATCAAAGTTGATTATTATGGAGAATGTTATTTGTATTATTTGGATTAATGAGTAAGTAAACTGATAGAATAAATTTTTACTATATAGGCTCTTTGCAATAGAAAGGAAGAAAACTACTAAAAAAAATTTTTTTAAGTTAATGTTAAATTTGAACTTATTTTATTAAAAAAATAATATTTAACTTATAAAGCAAAAAAAAATTTTTTTGATAATTTCCTCCCTTTCTATTACAAAGAGCTTATATATTGATTAGAAAATTATAATCAGTTAGAGTAACTAATTTTTAAAAACTTTGTATAATTTAAAAGATTCTTTTGATTGCAGGAATACTAAGAGGTATTTTAAATTTATTATCTTATAAAATAATAATAGAATAGGCTAAGAATAAAATTACAAATTATTTTACTCCTTTTACAAATATAATAATGTTTATTGATATGCTTATTTCTTTTATTTTATAAAACAGTTATATTTACAATAATAGTAAGGTGATGATAAATCTTTATTACTATAGTATTTGATCGAGATAATAATAAATAATTATTGAGAGTAATATGAAAAAAATATTTATTATATTTTGAATTAAGTTTCTTCTAAAGATGTCAAATAGTTTTAACTTTAATGATCTTTTTTCTTCTTTTTTTTATCTGCAGCTCTAAATTCAATATTTTTATATATATGCTCATATAAATCAAAATATTAAATCAAAAAAGATAGATGATTAGATAAATTATATTTTATTATCTTCTAATATTCTTGCAGAAGTTTTACTTTTTTGCTTTGCATTTTCATTAATATTCTGTTTGTATCTTTAATTTTTAACTTTATTATCCTTATTATGTAAAATTTACCTAAGAGTTATCATACATTCTATTATATTGTCCTAAATCTTTAAATTAATAGTATAATTATAAATTTTTTGAAATTCAGTAAGCTTTATATTTATTATATTGGTAGTTTCTACAGTTTTTTTTATACTGTAGATTTAAGTAGTATTATAATTTCAACTATAATATTCATTTTAATTTTCTTTTGAAAGGTTGATTAATTTGACAGATTTTGAATTTTAAGATGAAATAAGTCATAACTGATTAATCTGTAAAAAAAATCTTGTATTAAAACTGAAATTTCTAAGTATTCTTTGATCTTACTTTTAATTTCTTCCTGAGTATTATGTTAAATTTCTTTTCATGTATTAATACATTCTATGTATAAATCAGATTTTAAATATATATAATTCTTTGTAATTTATTATACAATAGTATCTGAAAATATTACAAAATCTCTAATATGGATTTATAAAGTCTTAATAAATATAAAATTTATTATATTTTGATATAGTTAAAAAAACCTGCATGTTAAAAAGTTTTAGAAAAAAAATTGAGATGATTAAAAACGTGATTATATAAATACAATAGCATTTAATTTAATAATTGACTATTATGAGATACATGCATACAATTACAAAAGTTTTTTATTACTAATTTTTACTTTTATATTAGATTTATTTAGAATTTAAATAAATGTTTTTTTATAATATTTACATAATATTTATTGATTATTAACTATTTATATAATCATATGAACAATAAGTCTCATAGAATTAAAGATAGAAAAGTGATATAGTAACATATAAATAATATAATATATGTTACTCTTCTAATATATTTAGTTAAAAATTATATTATTATTAATATAGGTAAGCAAGGTAAACTTATTTTTAATAAAGAATTAAAAGAAATTAAATATTAGGATAATACTATTTTAAGAATTACAAAAAATTCTTATAATAGGAAGAGAATAAAATATCTAAACATTTATAAACATATAAAAAATGAATATGTATATTTTAACTAGATAAATAATAATGCAGAAATATAATTGTAATAATTATTACAGATATATATTGATTTTTCAATGAGAAGAATGCTGCTCTATAAGAAAAAATGAGTCTAAAAGTATATAGATCATTAAATATCAGAATATTGTTAAAACTATAGAACTTATATGTTATAAAAAATATGTATTTAAAAATATGAATATATTTTAAATAGATGCTAATATATACAAAAAGTATTAATTAAATGATTAAAAATAATTTATTATATAAATTAATTTATTTAAAATGTTTCAATTATGTTAAAATTAAGTTTTGATTTTGATTATAAATTGATTTTAAGTTCTAAAATTGATTATAAATTATTTAGTAATGATTTCAAGTAAAACTGATTTTTATTTATTTTAATATTATTAATAATAGGATATTATAGATTAAGTATTTGTCTTATTATTAATAATTTTAATCATAAATATTCAAATATTCATTTATATTGATCATGAATATTTGAATATTCGTTTAAATAATTAAATATTCAATGAATATTTAAATATAGCTGAATGATAAATATATAGTGGCTACCAAAAGAAATACAAATGTGATTGATTACCTTTGAAAGGCTATAACTCATTGATTACAAATGCTAGAACTATAATTTTATATTTGTTTTAAAGCCCAAATCTTGAAGGATATTCTGGCAAAATTTAGTATCAAGTTAATAATACCAATTTCGTGTAAATTAATGATCTACATCAAAATTTCTTACATAGTAAAGTTTAGACATAAAAATTTTTTAAGCATACTAGCTATCACAAAACTGATACTGGATTCCGATTCTTTTCAGTGCAGTAATTCCAACAAACTAAATTTCGTGAGCCAATCAGGAATTATTGCGCAGCAAAGATCGGTAAATTATTATATAAAAGGTGTTTAGCTACTTTTTTATATAATAATTTGCCAATCTTTGCTGCACAATAATTCCTGATCGGCTAATTCGATTCTAATGAAATTTAGCTTACTGGAATCGCCGCATTGAGTAGAATCGGAATCCAGTATCAGTTTTGTGG